GTTTATTATTAGCAATGTTCTTCCGACGTCTGATTTCTTTTTAAAAAATGCGTTTCTAAAGTGCATAAACTTTTGGGATTGACTGTATAGCCAATACATCCTTAACACAGTTTTGTTACATTTCACCTAATACGTAATAAATAGAACATTATAAATAGTTTTATTGATTCAGTGTCTTTTCACTCTACATGGATCTTGACTAGATATAGGATATAGTAGGTACTAAATGCAAGCAAGAATTTCGAAATATCTGCGTTTGATCCTGTGACTTGCAGAAGACATGAAAAGTCTCCTATTCATCTAATGTATCATTATTATCTGCATAGCCAATCAAACTGTGAGCATGTATGAGTAAGTAATTTACGCATGGCCTTTGATTCGTAAGGTTTCCAGTGTTAATTAACACACAGACACCTCTCTCCATCTCTCTTTCTCCATGATCATTCATCGAGCCCGTCGAGTGGGTCAATAAATTAAATAGCGTATTCGATAGTTGGCAATTTGTGTCGATGGCAATATTTATCGCTTAGCCAGATCGATCGGACGATAAAGGTGAAAGATCTGAAGTCTGGAACGCCGGTTCTATGTATACATATGTCCCGATCTAAGAACGTGCCATTGCATCGGTACATGTATGTATGTAGCGTAGTACATATCTGCCCGAACGCAGTTTATCACGGATATTGGATCGCGACTCGTGTGTCGATTCGATCGTCCATGTCGAAAATTAATTTTCCAAGCGCTTAACCTCGGCCGTGCGTTGTCTGCCCCCGGTGAATCGGTAGTAGAGTCCGATCCCGGCTGAGATCGACAGCATTACGCCGATGACAAGATAATCCGGCCATTGTAGCGTCGATGTCCTATTGCCGTTATCCTTGTTCTCCTAGGAACAAATTCGCTCGTTTCATTTCATTCCTTAATACATAACTGATAGCTTATGACAATTTTAATATTAATTGATTTATATATTTTGTCTCTGATCTTATTAAATGCGTAGTACATATCTGCCCGAACGCAGTTTATCACGGATATTGGATCGCGACTCGTGTGTCGATTCGATCGTCCATGTCGAAAATTAATTTTCCAAGCGCTTAACCTCGGCCGTGCGTTGTCTGCCCCCGGTGAATCGGTAGTAGAGTCCGATCCCGGCTGAGATCGACAGCATTACGCCGATGACAAGATAATCCGGCCATTGTAGCGTCGATGTCCTATTGCCGTTATCCTTGTTCTCCTAGGAACAAATTCGCTCGTTTCATTTCATTCCTTAATACATAACTGATAGCTTATGACAATTTTAATATTAATTGATTTATTATATTTTGTCTCTGATCTTATTAAAATGTTTCTGTTCTTTTTCATGCACATATTCAAATATGATCTTATCAACACAATTCCTGATGAAATAATTCAATTATGCTTGTCTTTTAGAAGAGCTATTTCGAATCTCGACTTAATATCAATAATCCGAGTATATTTCAACATTTGAAAGTTAACCGAACACTACATGATCACTGGATCGAGTCGAGTAATCAGATAGATGCATTTGATTAAGATACACCTAGAGACATGTCTACGAGGATTCAGCTCGTATCGCAACATTTACCAGAATTCAACATGTAGTCGGTAGGAAGCGAGCGGCTACCAATCTATTCGAACATTTCTATGGAAAGTGCACTCACGTCCATTCTGCGGGATCCACTCGGCTGATACGATCAACTCGCGATACACGGGAAATTTGATACCGCGAGCTTGTTCGCCCCGAGTATCGTGCCTTTTCCTGAATCGTTTCTGCGACGACGAAGAATTAAACGACCAGCAAAAGTTCCAATGGATGGTCAGCCGAACCGTGAACCGACAGCACGAAGAAGAGCAGCACGCGACTACTTGATTATGGACTCGTCACCTGCGTGTTTTCTGACCGAGTGAGCCCGTTTTTCGATCGGCAGGAAGTAGGAGCAAAGGAAACATTTCGTTATATAAAGCTTGGCTCAGCATCTTTCTCGTCAGAGGCATGCAAAGTCTGGTGACACTGTCGAATGCTGAGATGAAATAAAATTTATGCTAATTTTGAAGAGCTGGACGAATGAGGAACTGACGTAGAGAACGAACGAGACAGCATAAGCTATTTAAATGCAGGAGGAGGTCGATGCTAATATTTATATTCTATTAGTAACTGTTTCTTCGAGCAAAATATTTAAAACTGAGGCTTATGATTGAATGACTATTTAATTATGTAAAATCGATAACGTCGGTCACTCTTACTCTTGCGAAAGAACCAGTTCGATTAGCATCGAACCGCGGGCCGATTAAACGTTACGAATAATTAATCTCTGAAAGGTTAATCAATTCAGGACAAAGAGGAATTTTCGTGTGCATTGGGCAAATTCTTGTCTCGAGCCGAATCGAGAAATCTGGAGAGCAAAAGAGGCGTTTGATACCCCTTGCTGAAAGGGAAATTGATCGTTGAAGATTCAACAATTTCGCATCGTCCCTTTGAAGTCCTTTAATTGGAATCGTATGAATAAGGATTAAAAGAAATTTCTTCAGCGTCGAGTACGACTGACTATATGCTAGAGGTACGCCAATGTTGCACCGCTGGTGCATAACAATTATCCGTGAGACGGTAGCTGCTGGTTGTAATGTAATTTCCTAGTATTATGAGGCACAATCCAGGGGCCATCAGGCTATTATTCTTGGACTGGAGGCACCCATAGAATCGTACGAGGAATTCCACGATCAACGAGAGGGATTCATCGATCTTTATCGACGGTGCACAAAGGTTATCGTGGTGAAGGATCGAATACGCGGAGCTGAATCTCTAGCGATCTACTAGTTTTTCCAAACGTCAATATATAATTTATTTAATGGAGCCAGTTCCAATGAAATCTTGTTACGCGCTTACACAGCCTCGTTCAAATTCAATGAAGTCTTGTCTGAATTGAGTAGGATCTTACTTCACATCCATCAAGTGATCTACCATTAACTGTGATTTAGTCTACTGGCTGCATATAAAGATCTGTTTCATATCCCTGTATGAATTTATGCAAACTATCGTATTGTACATAACATGATATTATACAAAGCACATATTGACTTATCTTTGTCGATGTATTCCAATAAATACGAAATGTCTGATGCTACATAAGTGGATCTTTATAATTCAATGCATCGGAAATGTTGTTCAGGGGATAAAAAGGATAAGCGGTAATAGGTGGTGGTGACCCATGGCAAATTTTGATCGAGCAAGCAGGTCAACAATTGGTCGATCAAGTTCAGCAGCCAGTTAAGCCGACGGTTAGCCTGTTGTCCTGCGTCCAACTAACGACTTAATGACGGGAATTCGCCACTTACGGTGCTCCTCCTTTTCTCCTCTTTCGTCGCGCGTCATCTTCCTCCTCTGCTCCTTCGAACCGCGCACATCGTAAAGCGAAGGCAGTCAAGCCAGCGGTCAAGTAACAATGTCGAAAATTGGACGACAGGGATCTCTATTAACCCCCGGAGTATACGTATACAGGCATCATGCAATTACAACGGAAGGAATAAATTCAACTTGGCAATACGCACATGTTGAGCAATCTAATCACATTAAACGCTAACACGATTTCAATCTGTCTCGAAGAGATATTTAAAAAATATTTAAATGCACGTAAACTGTCATTTTTGTCAAATATATTTACTTGTAAGATATTATAAAACATGACATTATTTTTGAAGAAATGAATATTTTATTATAATAATTAAGTAGGCGAGAATGCGAATTTACCAATTTCGATTGGTACAGAATTTATTTCCAATTTCAAAGATTCTATTAAATGCGATACAGTTAAATCCGTGGAAGTCGCGTCTTCCGCACATTTTGTGTGTTTTACGTGATTGAGTATAGTCAGGTTGGTCAAGCTTGCCCAAGCGACGAGTAATAACCGTTCACAAATATTGAATTTAGAGAGATAAGACCTGAGTTGGAAAAAATCCCTGAGAACAATTTCTAATAATTTGTACTTCCTCCATCCATCGTACGAACGTCTTAGTCGATTTCCTTTCTCCGTACGCTGCTACAGAAAGGACAGTGTTCCCATTGGCTTTGAAAGTAAATCTTGGAAGCGTGAATTCTTGGATTTCGCAACCCTCCTGTGTGTACTTGTGAACAGCCGTAGGGCTCTTTGCAGATTCTCCTGTTTAGATAATCACGATGTCGTGTTTTCGCTCGTGGTTTTCCCTTCTGGTTAGTTAGATGGAAGAAGGTGAGACATGGTACAGATTGAAGATCAGACGTGCTTTTGCTTAAAAGTACGTCCTCCTCTCGGCGTTCTAAGGAAGACGCTTGTTATTAGAGTTGGATACTCAAAGTAAGACATTTTGAGGGAACTTGATTAAATTCGCTTACGGCAGCACGTACGTCTTTCAAATGGGATAATAAAACAACGGTGCATAAAATAGAATTCGTTTATTTAAAGGATAAAAAATATACAATTTAAAAGATAAATACGTTATAGTATATTTTTATGTACACAATGGGAAACATGGGTCATGTATTCAACTCTATAACTGCAGATATTATGGCTCTGGGGAAAACACGGGCAATATCCAGTCGTTTGTATCGATTGAAACTACCAACAACATTTATGAGAACGTCCGGTAAATTGTTGGTACAATGGTACCTACACTTTATACCACTCGGAAGCATTTAAAATACATAATAAATTGTATTGAACAGTGATACTTTATGTATGACCTATTGGGAAATATCCATTTAATAGCAAACACAATGGATCCTAAACTTTATAGCAAATACTAATAATTAAGTAGAAGTATAGTGCTTAATTCATTTTTTAACTAAATCGCGAATCGGCAAATTACGATTAACATGTATAAGAAAAAAAGGAGTATAACACTTATTGCATGTTTTGTATTGGAAAAACCGCAAGTGTTCCGTGCTACTGTATTATGCACGCGCATTTTAATATCGAAGCGGCGCGACGGAAGGTAGTCAGGCTAACAGCTGTTCCAGTTAACAATGGCGTGTATTTTTGCCAACACGATAATCCCAAGGCCGCGCGATACCTGCAGTACGTGACATGGCCGAATGGAAATTTCGACAACGATTTCGCGCCGGTTTGTATGTAACCGCGCGAGGGAAAGTCGCGGCTCGCGGCGTGCATTGTGCGAAATGATGGTTCGATAATGAGCGCGTTCGCGTGTCGTCTCGTCTCGTTTCGTCGCGTCAATTCCCTATAATTAATTAACGAGGGAACCCGTTGTGTTTCACGGTTGCGAGAGTTTTAGCCGTCGAGTCTCGGCCGCGGTTCACCGTTGCCAAGCCGATTTTCGCGGCCTTAATTAATTCGGCGCGTTCAATTTGCTGCCAGCGTTGTCGATTGACGCTCGACGCCTATTAACGTTATGACGATTCCGTTCGCTGTTATGACTCTCGACAATTATCGTTAATTGAATATTCCAAAGACAACGATCAAACTATGCGAAGCGAATTTCTATTAGCCGCTATTTTCGCGCATTGTTCGCGGTAAGTGTGTAGCTGTATTCGTGAGTGGCATTAATCGTGTGTATTAAGTGGGAAATTTAATTAATTCCAATTCTGCGTATTACAATTATTGTCTATCATGTTGCGTGAAACCAAATTTCTGGGTCGAGGATTTTTATATATGCACGTGCTTGAGGAGAGTCGTGGCTAAGTAGAGATTTTAGTTACACGTGACATGATTCGTTATTTACTGATAAAATTCATGAGTGATTAAATAAACGAGGGAGGGAAGCACTTGTTGTAGATAATCATCCGAAAGATCTCGTTTGGGAACGGTAAAAATAATAATGAATCGAGAGCTGCAAGAGAATATTAAAATGCATACGTATAGCCACCGTCAGCTTCAATATATTCCTTTTATTCATTGGCAAAATCAGTTCCTCGATTTTTCCAATTTTTACACCCGAGCACATGCAATGTGTTTGGAATCGACTGTCGACCGGATTTTATTTACCTGAAATTGTGGTAGATAATTCGACGCTCCAAAGAAAAGAATAAAAATCACCAGTATAAATCGATATTAAGTGTAGTAATTCATCAGTTTTTGAGGTTGAATAGAAAGGAGGCCGTAGAGCACCATTCGTCATCAGCGCAATTATTTTCGGGGTCGCGATTCGCAGATAAAATTCACAATACCTCGACCGGCACTCAATGCGGGAAACAACCTTATGTAATTCGATGATTTGCATCGATGATGCATCGTCCTGAATGGACTCGCGATTTGAATACGCGTTATTCGCAGGTAGGGGAATCGCCAATAGTTATGCGACTCGCTAGCCGCGATCGTTAAACAAGATAGGGAAACTTACATATGTGTACGCACTGTAGGCGTGTACAAATTCTGTACGTGCGCGAATCGAGTCAGTTTTGCACGTTCAGTCGTAAATATAGAACTTTCGTTAACACACAAACTACCGTCTAAGTATATCATTTTGAAGGACTACTTTGTGAGTGCTGAACTAAAAGTCATCGGGCATAAGCCGAACTTTTGTGAGCTCAGTTTTGTATATAGAGTGCAGTCCTTGAAATTCCATTCTACATTTTTCATGCTACTTTTTCTATTACCGACATTCCGTTTACTCATTGCCAGTGTGCTTATTCCACTGGTTTTTATCGCCGTCATTCTTTCTGCCCTTTTTATTCCAATTTGATACTTCTTAATCTTAATCCAGTTCAAGGCCGAACTATTCTATAAACAATTCAACAATGCGTAGCGGAATCCACGTACAAGGTGTGCCACAAAAGTATGTACGTAATCTTCAGACAATCCATTGAAGGATTAATGGTCCTATCGACAGATAGCCCGAAGGTTTTCTTCCTAATCTATTCTTATTTCGTAATCGACTGACAAAGCGAGTCACGTGCAGAATTTATTTTGTATGTCAACCATGGATAATTAACGAAAGGCGACGCGTTGATTTAACGCGCTGAATATTTACAATTCTGACTGAATATTTTCAACGCACAGAGATTTCTATCCTTCAGTTTTCGTCCGGTTTTCACCCGTCATCGTGTCATTTTCCCGCAGGCTTCAAGCTCACATTCTCACGAGGATCGATAATAATTCTCGGTTGCAGCATCGCGGACATGAGATTGCTTTTACTTCTCGGCGACACGCAATGACCCGTTTCTAGCGAATTAAATTAATGCGTTATGCATATATACATTATACATAAAAAGTAGGGTTGGAGGACGAGTTACAATGAGCTAATATTACCGGAAATGCGTCCTCGAATTATAATTCTCAGAGAAGACCGTAAAACGAACTCGATCTCTTGATAATCTTGCGTAGGTTGAATTTCTTGCGTGTTCCCAGAGAAAGTTTGTTGCCGGGAAGCTAAACGAATGGTACATCCTTTGATATTATAGAAAGTTTTCTGTACATCCTGATTGTCTTTGTTACACCACCGCTAGCGGATTACTTTATGCTGAGGAGAAAAAATGCTGGTTCATTACCAAAATTTTTTGTGCACACGGCGCACCACGATATGCATGAAAGTTGAAAAAGCACAACGCTCTTTCTTCTCGGAGTTCAATCATGTTAATGGCAGTGAGAAGAATGAGAGCTGCTGGTATTCGAATCACGATGGTCGAGAAAATGATAAAACCCGAATGCAATAGTGACACCAATACTTTTCATTCGTTATCACCATGTTCACCAGTACATAGTATTATATCCTTACCCTTCAAAGAGGGTTACTGATCATTTACTGACCATGTTACTGATTACGTGATCTTAATAGATCCGCCTGACAAGCCCAATTACGAGTGATGTTGGACCTGAATTATGCTGGGGCCATGTTTTTCAGTCATTCATTATCAAATAACGGGTCGACATACAAGCCGACATTGTTGATGTCGGACATTTGACAGATGATCAATATTGGATTCTCTATCAATAGGAACCATTGACGTTCGGACGATAAAGTGGAATGGTCAAATAAAAATTAAAGAGCTCATAGTTTTCGTACATTAATGAACCGTTCCATTGAAGTCATTAATAAACTTGA